ACGGTTCGAACAATCTAATCACACATTTACTTGTTAAGCCCATTATATATGAGAACTGCAAGTAGGGGAAAGATAAATATGACATAAATGAACTGAATAATAGGGAAGATAATGAAAGGAGAAAAAAATGATAAAATTTGAATTAATATAGGTGTAAAACTTGAACTTTGTGGTAGAACTTAATTCCATATTAATGTCATTATTGTGTCTTATCAGGAACTGTTCAAATTCAAGACTAGTAAACTCCTACAAGTTAAAACTAAGGCCTAATGACCTACATATAGAACAAGATGAAAAAATGGTTATTTTCGATGTAACAAGTCTTTATACCAAAATACCAATCCATATTGCACTGGAGGTAGTCAGACATCAACTAAATATTGAATCACAACTTACAGAACTAAGATATAGGTTGATGTTATCATATTAGACGTACAGTTATGCCTGACCTCCACAGTCTTCAAGTTTCGAGACAAAATATACAGATAAACAGAAGGAGTAGCGATGGAATCGCCAATATCCTCAATCGTTGCAGGATTACTAATGGATAGTTGGGAAAACATGGCACTACAAATGTTTAGTCCTGCACCAAAAATATGGTAGCGATATGTGGATGACACATCCATTACTGTTTGGAAATCGGAATATATCAACAGTCTCATCACACACGTAAGCTGAATAGTAGACGCAATCCAATTCACTTACAAGCAGGTGGAAAACGAATAAGGAGAATTATCTATGTTGGATTGCAGGATGAAACGAAGAGCAGACGGAAGAAGACCGACACATTCCAACAGGTATCCAGACTTCAAGTCATCTCATTCAATGTCAGTTTAGCCGAGCGTAGTCAAATATCTAAGTGATAGAGCTAGAAAGCTGAATAGTCAGTGCAAGGACCTAAACAAGTAAATGAAACACCTGAAAGAAGCACCGATAGTTAATAATTATCCTTCGCAGTTTATTAAGAAACTCGTGCGAACACACAAGAAACACGAGCACAAATAATAACGACAAGACGAGTAGAAAGGAGTTCACAGCCTCAATTGTGTTACTCTGTAAAGAAGGTACATCAGAAACTTTATGTAGGATCCTCAACAAAGCTGGATAAGCTTTGTTGGCTGGCTTAAGGATCTGATAGACCCAAATGAGCAAAATAATCTAATCTATCAAATTGCATGTAATGACTGTGAGGTCAAGTGCATAGGTCAAACTGGCCGGTCAGTATTAGTCAGAATAGCCAAACATAGTAATTTAGCTATATTGAAATGATGGGGAATATTTGCAGCTCAGGTGGATGGTCTTGGTTGTATTGTGTTCTCTGAGGAGTTGGGTTGTTTAATCGTGAAGCTGTCATCCTCTTTCCAGACTACATCATCAACACTAACTTCAATATGAAGTGAGCTGTCTATATCTCACAAGGAGTGATTTAGTAGCTTGCTGTGACGATGTGGTATGTGACTGGTTGTTTCCTTTGATTGTTGTGTCATTGATCGTATAGACTTTCTGTTGGCTGTTCCTCTGCTTCACCTCTGACTTTTCTGTCGTTTACCACTTTTCTTATTGGTTGGTAGACCGGGTCTATGTCTATACATCTTTTGATTGCTGACTGACTGACCTGAATCCAAGCTTCTAGGAATTCTCTGATATTCTTTGTATTTCCCCTCTCTGTCCAACATTTCTTCATTGTCAAAGTTCAATTCATGTCCATAGTTGTTATCCACATGCATTGAAATGAGTGAAATGTCGTGGCGTTTAATAGCCGACTGGTGCTCATGTAGACGAAGGCGAAGAGGGTGGCCGCTTTGTCCAATGTAGTGCTGACTAAAGTTATTGGAGTTGATTTTGTAAATGACATTCGGTTGGTCTTCTTTGCTTGTTGCATCCTTTTGTCTGCATAGTAGTGTTTGGAGGGAATTTGTTGGTTTATGAGTCACACTAATTCCAAGTGGTCTCAGCAATCTTGTTGTGATTTCTCATACATTATGTATGGTAGGATGATGATGTCGTCTAGCAAGGCGATGAAAGCTTTACGATTAAACAACCCAGCTCAGAGAACACAATACAACCAAGAATTTAGCTATATATACGATGACAAACCCGAATGAAATCAATACTCTAGACAAAATCTCGGCTATAGCAATGGATTCATTAACACACAACCTCACACAATAGTATGGGTGGGATAAAATCATTGTACTTCAGTCCAATATAATAAGGTGGAGGTTGAGAAAAATTCATTACTGAAACCTTGTTCATCAAGTTAACACCCAGCACATGTAACAAGGGTGACGTAACACCTATACCAGAGAAATGGAAAATTTTGCTACCAATAAAAGTAGGTTATACGAGGTAATAACACTACAGAAATCAGATGCCGAAAGTAGTGTGATCACATTGGTATTGATTATGAGCAATAATAATTTATGCTGAAAACGTCATCAAGTAAATAAGTTAGTAAGCCTGGTGGTTGTGAGGACAGTTACTCAACGATGACATTGGGGGCGGTTGCGCTATATCGTGAGCTAACACAAGTTGGAAATATGGACGATGGGATTCTGATCTAGTGGCTTAATGGTAACTTGCTGACCACGGAATCTGATGGTCGTGGGTTCGATCCCTGGAGGGTAGGGTTGAGGGTGCGCACTGCTGAGAAGTCCCACACTAGGACTAAACAGCTGTCCAGTGTTGCTAGGCTCCCTTTGTTCCTCCAACTGATGTCAGTCTACGATGAACAACAACTTGAAATACATCACTTACTGTGTCTTATAAATCAAATAAACAAATCGAATATAGATAACATTTGAAGACAATCTTGGTGATACGACAAAGTAAAAGCTACTAGGGTAGGTTTAGAATAAGGACATCCCATAACAAAACATATCATTGATAAAGATCACAAGATTGATATTAAAATAGCCTTTACAATTTTGTATAGGAATTGTAAGGGGGGTATACTTTGGTTTATTGAAGCGCTAACCATAAATAAACTTAACTCCCTATTGTGGGGGTGCAAAAATAGTTTGCCCTTATGCTTAGCCTACCTTTGGTAGCGCTTATTTTATTATATTTTCAAGATTGTCTTTAAATTTTATCAAGTAAATATGTGATCAGATTGTTCGAAATGTTCAAATAATCTGTGTCTTCTAATTACGTTATCGAAATTCTTGTTAGGGATTGATCTATTCAAGTGCTTATTGGTTTATCTTTTTCCTTATTGAGTTATAGTAACGTGTACTGATACACTGTAACCTACTTTTAAATTTTGAGGGGGTTGTGGAGATTTGGAAATATGTCAAGTTGTTATTCATCGAAGACTGACATCAGTTGGAGGAACAAAGGAAACCTGGGAGCACTGGACAGCTGTTTCGTCCAAGTATGGGACTCCTCAGCAGTGCGCACCCACGACCCCACCAGCAGGGATCGAAACCGAGACCTTCAGGTTCCGCGACCAGCGCGTTACCATTGAGCCACTGGGTCAGAATCCAATGCTCCATATTTCCAACTTCTGTTAGCTCACGATATAGCGCAAACTGCCACCCAATGTCATCGTTGAGTATTTGTCCTCACGGCCATCAGGCTTTGACTCCACCGGTCACGACTTGTCATTGGAACTTCGGGAATACTTCTCGAAGCTAGTCACCAACGAGCACTAGTTCAATTAAATTTTGAGGGGGTTGTGGAGATTTGGAAATATTTCAAGTTGTTATTCATCGAAGACTGACATCAGTTGGAGGAACAAAGGAAACCTGGAAACACTGGACAGCTGTTTCGTCCTAGTATGGGACTCCTCAGCAGTGCGCACCCACGACCCCACCAGCAGTGACTAGCTTCGAGAAGTATTCCCGAAGTTCCAATGACAAGTCGTGACCGGTGGAGTCAAAGCCTGATGGCCGTGAGGACAAATACTCAACGATGACATTGGGTGGCAGTTTGCGCTATATCGTGAGCTAACAGAAGTTGGAAATATGGAGCATTGGATTCTGACCCAGTGGCTCAATGGTAACGCGCTGGTCGCGGAACCTGAAGGTCTCGGTTTCGATCCCTGCTGGTGGGGTCGTGGGTGCGCACTGCTGAGGAGTCCCATACTTGGACGAAACAGCTGTCCAGTGCTCCCAGGTTTCCTTTGTTCCTCCAACTGATGTCAGTCTTCGATGAATAACAACTTGAAGTAACCTACTTTGTTGTAATTTTCTTTTATCAGTCACTCTGCTGTTCATAAATCTGATAGGTAATTTTAATGAAATTAATACTAATCCTCTTATATATGCAATAAACTATCATGAAACATTTTTTTTCGTAGACTGACATCAGTTGGAGGAATAAAGGAAATCTGGGAACACTGGATAGCTGTTTTGTCTTAGTATGGGACTTCTCAGAGGTGCGGCCCCACGACCCCGCCCTCCAGGGACCGACTCCGTGACCTTCAGGGTCCTTGGCCAGCACGTTCGGATCTAATCGTCCACATTTCCAACTTCTGTTACCTCATGTGCTGGCCACGGAACCTGAAGGTCGTAGGTTCGACCCCTGGCGGTGTCATGGGTGCGCACTGCTGAGAAGTCACATACTTGGATGAAACAGCTGTCCAGTGCTCCCAGGTTTCCTTTGTCCCTCCAACTGATGTGAATCTATGATGAATAACAACTTGAAATATTTCTAAATCCCCACAACTTCCTCAATATTTTTTTCAAACAAGAAATTACTGAAAAATGTAGTTTCTGAATTTGCCTCCTTCATCTTATGAAGTGAACGATAGCTTAACTGCTGACTTGTAAATATCGCTGTTTCATGGTGCACCTTTGAAATTTAGTGTATTCTAGTTGAATTTGTTCTAAATATTGTGAAATTTTTACACAAAGTTGATATCTGCATATCTTTTAGCAGGTTCACTTTATTTCTTATTATCTGACTGTTATTAGATCACCATAGTTATGATAAAAATGAGCATAAGAGAACATAAAATTTATTGGAGGCTAAAACTAGTCAGTCCCTTATTCACTTACCTGTTTCTTATTAGCAACATAAAGTGCTGCCTCAGCGACAGTCTTAGGAGGGAATAAATCCATTTCTAGAACATCATTTAAAGTATCTGTTGTACAATTATTCAAATTAATATGGGTTAGTATCTCTTTCGTTTCTTCTTCATTATGTACTTGTCCTGAAAAATAATAAGCATTTGTTTTAAGGTGTTAAGAATGTACAGATGCTACAGTTTTAGAATACTAAATATAATTATAGAGAGCTAGAAGCATGAAATGATTTTCACAACTTATTATCAAGAATTTAGTAAATATGGTCAACATTTTGAAACCATCAGTAAACCGTAATATTTAGTAATGATGGATGGTGGCTAACAGTGGAATTCAGGATGCGCATTCCGTTCTACTATGGAATCGTCAGTTGGATGTACTTGCCTCCTAGTAAGTGATGTTATTCCCACCGGGATTCGAACTCGGGACCGGTCTCTTCGAACGCCAGAGCGTTGTCCATCAGACCATCAAGCCATGTTATCGACTTTTTGTGAGATGAGTATAGTTTTAGTGTTATTGCTTGTATTACACCGTCGTTGATTAGTCTAAGTGTGCATCCTGGATTCCACTGCTAGCTACTATCCATCATTACTGTACATAATTAAAAATATAGGCAATATTGAGGCATCCACGCAGGGGCCTACATGCGAATAGAGATCGATCAATTCAGTCCAGTCAACAATGGTCTAATACAAGCGATAACAATAAAACTAAACCCGTTGCACAAGAAGTAGCTATTGTGGCACGGTGGTTTAGTGGATAATCCTCTGGAGTTTGAAGCTATAGCTCCCGAGTCCAAACCCGGTGGGAACAACATCACTCACTGGGAGGCAGGTACGTCCAGCTGACGAGTCCCATATAGGACGAAACGCACGTCTTGGACTCCACTGCCAGCCACTATCCACTATCATCATGTAGAATTAAAACACAGGCAATATCGAGGCATCCGCACAAGAGCCGATTTGCCATCAGAGACCGACCGATTCGCTGCAACTAATGATAGTATAATACACGCAATAATACTAAAATACAACATAATTTTCAGTAATTCAATTCAGATGTTTCGTCTCCATTCATCTGCCTCGCATAAAATTATCCCTATTGTTTGAGACTGAAGAATGATAAAAATTATACCTGGATATCCAAATGTAAGAAATGCCTGAGTATGATCACATGCAGATAATCAATGTCATCATGATCATCAATATCAACATAGGACCAGCATTACTGAGTTACGGTCCAAGTTACCACACCTCATATCACCACATCAACTAAAAAGGTAGTGAACTGCAAGATGAAGAAAAGATAATTCGGTCGAAAGAGATAAAAAGTACTACATGAGAGAAAGGAAGAATAAAAAAATGGTATGGTTCGGTATAGCGTCATCAAGATGAGGGAAATATGTTTGTGGGGAACATCTGTGCCAATAACATCGGTTCTCAGCCATGTGACCACCTAGAGTCAGTCAGTCTCCAACCACTGATTCCTCTTGTCCCGCACACCCTACCACCCAGCTTGCATCGCCCCATATGGCTAAAACCAACAGTCAAACACCTCACACATTGGTGCCATGTTTTAGTCTAGCCACCTCTGGCCCTTTTCCAGCCTGGACCTACTCCAACCAACATTGTGTGACCAGGCACACGGCGACTACGCATACCTAACTTAACACATGTCCCAACCAACCATCTCAGTCGATGAAGGTTCACAACCACATCAACTGACTTACCTCTTCTCCCTAAAACTCTACTCCTGACTTCCATGCTACTCACTCACGTAGTGACACCACGCAATATTACCTATACTACGAAGGTAACGGTGGTCAAACACCTGAAGTCTTCTCATGCCTTCCACCTTCCATGGCCATGTTTCACAGCCATACAGTAGGACAGACCGGACTGCTTTGCATGTGCAGTATACGCGACCCTTAATAGACTATGGGATATCACGGCGGCGCCATAGGTGTCGTAAGTTGGCAAAAGCCAGCCAGTCGAGCCTTTTGTATTCGTGCAGAGATTTCATCGGCCATTGACCTGGGCACCAGAGCTGATCCCACTTCACTTCTCAGGTAATTTAAGTGGTCGACACACTCAACCACTACACTACACTATACTGTCTATTGTTAGCCACAGTGGGTCACCGTTGAATACCAATCCTGGAGCAACAATTTGCATTTGGGTGGTGAGAAATGCATCCCAAACATTCTGAAATTGCCACTCGTAGTGTTCAGAAGACTCTGTATCTTGTCAGCGTTTTCACGTAAGAGTACTATGTCATCTGCATATTCTAGGTCTAACGAAAATTCTCCTGCGAATAGGTCAACCTCTGCGTAGTCAGGTGGTGAGAGGGAGACCTCCATAAGAATATCTGTGATAAAATTGAATAAGAAAGGCGAGAGTGGGCACCCAGTCAATGAGGATACCCCCTGGACATCTCACCATTTCACCACAGTTCCACAAGCTGTGCACTTATCAATATTGAAACAGTTAGTCCCTTTTATGAATTTCAGTAGCGTAATTGGAAGACGAAATTTATCTGAACATCATCACTACTGATTTTTGAAAGTAATGTGAATAGAAGTATCCAGAAAAAGAGACACCTAGTGAGTCCTTTGACTGTTAGTATATGTCTGCTGTCTACAAAGTAGTTGGTTTCAGCACCGTCTCTACGATCAATACACACAGAAACTGTATCACATATGCAGCCGTTTATACGCTTATAGAGAAAGTGGTTGTCTGAGTTGATGATAAGCCGTCCCATCAGTCAAGGATGAATAATTTCACTTTCCTCCTTTAGTTTTAACATAGATATACTGATGGAGTTAATAGCACCTGAAAACAATCTTAGTGGTACAGATTTATTATATTATCACTGAAAGTGTGAACAAGTTCACCAACTTTCATTTAATTATTATTCTGTCTTCTCATTTACATTGACTAATTTCTGTTTTTGCTCATGTGAAATGATACAGTTTTATGCAAGATTCTACACTGATTTGTTGGACAGACTTTAGTGTCTAGGGAGTGAGATAAATTTATTGTTTACTCTCACTTTTATCTATTATGAAAGATGATTGTGTGAAACGGTTTAAGCAGCTGAGAAGAAATATTGACATATTTTGTAATATTTCAAGTTGTTATTCATCGTAGACTGACATCAGTTGGAGGAACAAAGGGAGCCTAGCAACACTGGACAGCTGTTTAGTCCTAGTGTGGGACTACTCACCAGTGCGCACCCTCAACCCTACCCTCCAGGGATCGAACCCACGACCATCAGATTCCGTGGTCAGCACGTTACCATTAAGCCACTAGATCAGAATTCCATCGTTCTTAGTTCCAACTTGTGTTAGCTCACGATATAGTGCAACCGCCCCCAATGTCATCGTTGAGTAACTGTTCTCACGGCTGTCAGGCTTTGTCCCCAGAGGTCATGACTTCTCATTGGAACTCATTTGAACAGAAGTTTGAATTATGAACGATTATATTCTGACCTAGTGGTTCAATGGTATCGTTCTGGCCACGAAACCTAAAGGTCGCGGGTTCGATCCCTGGTGGAGTCGGATCGTGGGTACACACTGCTGAGAAGTCCCGACAGTAGGACGAAACAGCTGTTCATTTTTTCCAGATTTCCTTTGTTCCTCCAACTGATGTCAGTCTATGATGAATAACAACATGGAATATTTCCAAATCCTCCTTGAATATTCGTAATAGTTAAAGAAACAGTTTAACAGAGAATAATCATTATACCTGAATCAGTCAATTTTTTCAGAATTCTTATAAAATCATCATCAAGAGGAACTTGAGAATCTGAGATTTGAATTTTTTTAAGAAATTCAATATATTCCTTCATTGTAAGCTTCTTTTCATCAGCTCTCTTTGACATATATCTAATGATTTGGTATGCAACAGATTCAGGTAGAACATTTTGTTTTGTTTCTATTTTGTCTGCATTTTTTTCATTACCAGTAGTTATAGGTTTATCTTTTTTAATGCTACGTTTCCGATTGATAGAAGTTTCTGAAGTATTATTATCTAGATTGTCTTCTGTATAACTTGGACGTTTTGAACTCCTTCTAGAAAGATTACCAGTTTCTTCTACAGGTTTTTTTTCCACCTTTATATCATTAGCACATATAATATCATTAAGTACAGATGGTGAAAGTTGTTCATAATCTTGTTCACTTAGAGTGACAAGCATTTTATTGGCTATTTTCAAAATATCTGGCCGACATTTTAGTTTCACTTCATTTGAATCTGTGACTTCTAGTGCCTAAAATATCAACAACAAAAAAGATTAAGTTTCATGAGTAAGGAGATAAATTTCTACAATATCATTCATAACCAGTGCTATTTCGTAAATAATCATTATCTTCAGTTGAGTAAAATATATAGCAAAATAATCAGCCGGATCTACATTCACTTCTATCAAAATTTCTTAACATAAAAATTGTTCATTCTATTCATCTGAAATAAATATACTTCTAGGAAGCTATTAGCTTACACCACTTTTATAAAAATTAACTAAATCCTAATATTACTATTTATGCATATGCTTGTAATTCTCTGTTGTTTCATTGGATCGAATTGTTCGACCTCTATTAGCATATAGGCTCCTATGCGGATGCTTCGATATTGCCTGATGTCAATTATGGAATTTAGTTGGTTGTGGCTAGCAGAAGAATCGACAACGCGGAGAAGAATTACAATAGAGAACTACAAGTAGATCAATAAATAGTTATAACTACCACCCGTTGTACAAGAAGTGGCCATCTTGCCTCCATAGCATAGTGAATAACGCCTTGATGTTTGAAGTGATGGGTAAGAAGTTAGAGTCTAAGTGGGATAAAAACATTAGTCACTACGATCTAGGTAGATCCGGCTGACCAATGAATCTGAAATAGAACGAAACACGTGTCCTGGACTCATCTGCTAGTCACAACCAACTAAGTAAACCTTAACATATCAATGAACCAAATTAAGTTCATTAGTTGTATAAAAACGACTTTTATAACAAAACTACTGGCATACATCATAATAATAGACGATAAAAAGTACATCCAATCAATTTTAACCGATGATTACAAAATGTAACTTACACCTTTACAAACTAGCTTATTATCGAATTCCTCATTCATGCAGAAACCTCAATTCATATCTGAATTGTTGTCTAATCTAATTACCATAGACTCTACCAGCCATTACTTCATTTATTTTAGAAGATAAACCATTCATTTTTTCGAAAGCTGTATATTCATATACATATATATGATATTTAAAGACTGTAACACGTGAGGAAGATTTGACTTAAATAATGACAGGTTGAAATAATAATGATAAATAATAATGATGGTTCTAGTTATAATAATGTTGCTAGTCGATGATGTATAATGATTGGATGATAACAAAAAGGGTTTTTAGATCGTTTATATGATGCATATAGATTACAACAAGAATGAAAATGCGGTAAATTTAATAAACAATCAAGGGTGATTACGTAATATAAATGAGATAACCGGTTAATTGGAATAAATTGATAATATTTTCTTAAAATTTGCAATTATTATGAAGAATAAATGAAGTAATGTCGGAAACTCTTAGATGTAGGAATAAAAAGCATAATAACAGTACAAGAGTACAAAGATTCATATGACAAAAAAGGGAAGTTGAAAAAATGAAAAAGGAAAGAAGCACCATATCAAGACCAAAATAAATTAAGGTCAAGATAGAGACAAAGTCTGCACATACTTCTTTTTTACACAAATGTCAGTCAGGCTTCAGTTCATAAATAGCCAAAGCCTCTACTGCTTTTAGTAGTTGAAAACATGGAGAAACGTGAGATATTTGAAAGAATTCGATAAATAACCTTAAAAATATTATGTTGGGTAGGACGAATGGTTGAAACCAATGAAATGTTAAAGGATAGATCTTATAATTCATTTCCTTTCAACCTTATAAAACTAGGCAGGAATGTGTTCTCATATACATGTTTATAGCAGTCTGTGACTACGGTAATGTACTTTGTTCCACAGGAGTAGGGGAACTGATAAGTACAACCATTTTTTATTTATTCCAGTAAACTTTATTCATATTACCCATCTTTTGATTGTTTATTAACTCTAACGCGTTTTCATACCTTTTTAATCTATATGCAACGTATAAACCATTAGAAAATCTTACATAACCCTTTTGTTACCATTCAACTTATACATGTCATCAACTAGCAACATTATTATAATAACCACTATTATTAGTATCACTAGTGTTATTATTTTAACCTCCCATTATTTAAGTTTAATCTTCCCCAGAGTCCAATAAAACTTCAAACTGAAGGTGAACTCTAAAATTATCGTGAAAACAGGAGTAAGACAAAGCTGTCTACTATTACCAATGATCTTCCTAATTGTGGTTGACTGGATCAGGCAAGAAACTGTAAGGAGCGAGAAGAGAGGGATACGCTGGCTCGGGGAAAAGATCTTAGAAAACTTGAATTTTGCCGATGATTTATGTCTAATGTCTTGTCGCACAAACTCGAAGATCTACAGGCGAAAACTAACAAGTTGACGGAAGAGGCAGAGCAGCGAAAACGGGACTTCAAGTGAATGTAGAGAAGACGGAGGTGATAAAGATACCCAACCAACAATAGCATCAACCACAAGCACCAATCGTCATCAACGGGAGAAATGTGAAGGAAGTTGTCTCTTTCACCTACCCAGACAAGGCAGCATCATTTCAACTACAAGCAGTGGCGGTAATACAAACGAGGATGTCAAAGCCACCCAGGATCGGAAAAGCAAGACAGGCTTTCACTAGTGTAAAATTAGTGTGTAGATATACTGCACTCAGTACAAAGCGTGAGCAACATCCGGATTTTCAACACCAATCCAGTCAAGTCAGTGCTTCCATATGGTTCAGAAACAAACTACAGACATTGATCAACAGCTGCCACCTACGCTCACTCCATACTGAAGATGGAGATCAGATGGATGGCCAGAATAATAGGAATAATCAACAAGGAACTCTGGCTGGGTGGCAACGAACCAATCGAGAACCTATCACCCAACAAATATGCAGGGAAAGTGTAGATGGAGGTGGATTGGGCACACACTGAGAAGGCCGATTGAGGACATCACACACCAGACCAGGCTCTCGAGTGGAAGTTAAATGGGAAACGACGAGTTGGACGTCCGAGGTGAGGGTGGCATTGAGGAGATGATGTGAAGAGGAAATGAAAGGTTGTGGGTAGTGGTGTAGGGAGGTTGAGAAGACTGCAGAGAAGTGCAGAGTGAAATGGAGACGGGCTACTGAAGCTGTATGTTCCACTATGAATGCAAGGGAAAAATAATAAGGATAATAATAATTCTTACTTGGCATGTTTGCGCACTTTTGTTAGGAAAACTGTGTTTAGGTAGTGCAGGAAAGGTAAACTGTAACACATTAATGTTCTGTTTGCAATATTCACTGTGAAGCATTTTAAAATTCATAGAAAGAGTTTATTAGCTAGTAAATCAAGCAAAAAACGAAAGCATTTGTGTAGCTTATGGTACACAGATCACTGATAACTTCCTGAAACTATTGAATTGTTGTGATAGAAAGTGGAAGCAAATACTAAAGGAATGCTCATAAGATTTCAGATTCTGATTGACATGTTGCCGCACAAAGTAAGCTATTATTCACGAGATTTTTTGTACCTCTTTGATATGATCCCAAGACAAACTCAGTCATCTGGATGACGTTTCAACAAATGTATAGACCTTTTCTTTTTTGTTTATTTCGCCATTCATAATTTAAAGAAATGAGAAATAGGATGATAGATAATCAACAACCCTTTTGGCTTATAATGTGGAACCTGACGTTTAGCTTTATTAATTTCAAACTAGCGTGAATGTTTTTTCAAAGCACTCTTCTCATGGAACTTTTGTCTCTAATAATACTAAGTCCATGAACCCGGAGTGAGAATTTGTGGTAAACATCACATGCAACTTTCTGTGAATACCTCCAGCGTATTGTTAAGTATGAAACTTCCATAATTTTGGTCTTGGCGATTAATGTCAATAAATTGCAGTTAGTATTTTCTCCTAATGTGTGACATGCAGTGAGTGACTCTACATGCCACTTCTAGAGTATTTTATAATCATTCCAGACCATCTTGGTGATTTCCTATCTTATGTATTTCAAAAAGAAGAACTTGCTAGTTATTAGCAACGGAGGTTAAAAATGGGTGTGAGACTTTTATGATTAGAAATTAAAAAAACTGTTTCCATATCTCAGACGAATTTTCCCCCAGGTCTTCCGACTCCAATCATAAAAGTTATGTTGAATTTTGTGAGGGACATCTTTTTCTTCTGCGAAATCTTTTTAAAAACCCAACTAATCCAAAATGTAAAATAATTGCTTCAGCAACTACGGTAAGGCAAGTTTCACGGTTTCAATTTGGCCAAAAGCTTAACCAAGCCTCGATATCTATTGACAGTTTTTGGGTAAGAAGTTAATATACCCTTGTTGAGCAAAGCTGGTCACACTCGTCGGACCTGAATATATGTCAAATGATGCCCAGTATTTAGAATAATAATAGAGAATCAACCTAATGAGTACTTTTACCAGTTTAGTTATATGAAGGGTTGTATCTACTTTCTTAGGTGGGTAAATGAAAGGAACTCGATGCGCATGCAAAAACCTGTCTTTTGTTTAGCAGTCTTTATCAGCTGCATCACTGACTCTATATTTGATTCCTTGTAGCTGAAGTATGCTGCAATGCAACGGCTTTTGTATCCAACTTTGTGGACATGAGCTAGTTGCAAAAGATAAATGACTTAGAAAGCCATAGCCAACAAACTACAGATAGCATCTAAACGTTTTCATGTATACTTGAACCACTAAGTGGATAATTTGCAAATTTGTCACAGTATAACTCAAAGTCTTTCTCTATGTAACATACAAAAGAGTAAAATTCAATGGTATAACTTGCAGTTGCAAATGTAAAGTCCTATGTAGTGCCTTTTACGGGTTTTTCCGTTACGTTACTAAAAAATATGGAGAAAAGAATGAAACTTTTCAGGTCCTCTACTGTATCTGCGTAATATTTACTTGCCAGTTGTTGTGTTTTGTAACAGCATAGAAAGGGAAACTGATATGCGTGACTCCACGTAGATGTATGCGTCTATCTATCTGTCCCCAGGCGGAATAAAGATTTTAAAAATGTTTTGCCAGTGAGATTAATTCAAAAGTTAAAAATAATTAGTTTTCAAGAAGGAAAACAGTTTTACCTTAATGATCCAATTTTTATTGATGAAATCAGACAAACCAACAGGTTTTTTAAGAGCTTCAAAAACACTTTCGAATTGCTGCGTTGTATTTTTCAAAGTTTCAGACAGGCTAGAATTCTCTTCATACAACTCCTCCAGTTTTTTCTGATGGTCACATTTTACAAGTGAATTTAAACCACAGAACGTTGGAAGGCAGGTTTTGGGAGTTTCTAGAAGGCAATGGGATTTAAAAAATGAATACCTTTTGCTATGACTTCCTTCGCCTTAACATTCTTCGAGGTATCCAAACTTTTAGGAGTTTCACCTTTATCCGAATCTTTAGGACTATAATGATCTAGAATTCTACCCAGATACTTCGCGCATAAACTCAAAATGACAGTCTCGTCCACAACTTTATTTCTAGCAATGTCAATTAATTTCAGAAGACTTCCTAAGGGCAGATAAGCAAGATAATCTGCAATCTGATTATCGCCGTGCATAATGTTGCAGTCTGATGGTGCTTTATTATGAGCAGGGTAAAATGTTTTAAAAACATTTTCTTCATGAAGCCATAAAGAGACCAAAAGTTCAACTGATTCCTCATACACTTTCTTTGTGGCTTCAGATTTCAAGCCATACGCTGAACAAAGAATGCAAATTAGATCTGTAACCTCTCGCATTTCATAGGCATTACGGAATATATTGTCGATAAATCCTCTGGAAATTTCAAGTAAATTTTCCTTTCCTTTCATTTTAAGTAATTCAGCCCCAGCGTAAAGAAAAACAACATTCTGCGGGGTTATATTTATGTCTTTTCCATAGCAAAAATCAGCAATGACTGTAAAAGTCTTAGAACCACCAGGAAAGTCGCTTATTTGACATACAGGATTACCACTGGCTATTTCTTTAAAGTAATCTGATTTCGTGTAAAGAGGGAATTTATGTAGTTTGAACCTTTCACTGTCAATATATACTGTAAAATCAGAAAGTTCAGCAGAATCTCGAAATTGTTTAATATCCATTTCTCGGATTGGACGATAACAGCCACTTACATTTAAATACTAACTTCTAAATCTAAACCAATAACTGAGCAACTTAAACAAAATACATTTCAGTAAGCAACGTAACTTTAAAATTTAAGTGTCTAGTTTTAAAGGCAGTAAGTAACCCGAGGAACTTCAAGAACTCAATTTTGAAATTTTTTGAGTCCGCTTAATATTTTACTGAAATTCATCAGGTTCATAGGATCGAAAGCCTAATAATAATTACCATTACCTCTTTATTCCAGAAAGCATGCGGGATACAGTGCGGAATTCTCAACACTTATTGTCTCGTCTAAACGCATTCAGTTTACGTTAATACTAGTTAAGGGAAACTCATAATCTCTGAGCTGTTGTGTCTAGTTCTTAAGGTTCGGTTCTTGTAGTTTAGTCTTGATCCCATAGCCAGCAGGAAAATATCTTCTTAAATCCTCATGACTATGCTGAAGAAACTTTTTTCCCGATTGGAATATGCAGTATGTAGGTTGAGCTGGCCAGGGTGATGAGTTTTTCTCGTAACTTTCGTATGTATGGCTGTTCCTAAGTGAATCATGGGGAAAAGTAAATGGGATGTTCTTAAGGGTCAAAAAAACTAAGTAAAATGAGTGTATCAATTGGAGGAGATTTAAAAAAGCGTATGAACAGAAACAACTAGCAGTAAGCAGCAAATAAGAAGGGATTAGCTAAGCATTGAAAGGCTAGGTAGTTAGGCTAGTTATGTCCTAATTACGTCACTGGTAAGCCATACGAACTCACTTAGCTGTCGAATTTTTTGATTACACTGAGGCTCATAACTATGTTCTGTGGTAATGCGATCCGTAGCGCACAGATTCCCGAGGAAACCAGTTTTAGTCCGAACCTAGTATGAGCTTCTGTTATGTGATATTCTGGTAGGATTCTTTCCACATACCCTGCCGCACTGCTGGTAAGATTTGTTTGCGTTACTTGCAACAGCTTCTAGCAAAACACACTTGGGTTTCTCAGTCTGGAAGTGTGCGTGTTTATTCCTGGTTCAGCAACTGTTCCCCCACGTTTCTCTGTACTTGATCAAAGAAAATAGAACCCGGTTTGGTGTTAAGTAGGTGCTTTCAGATAGGGCCAAACGTAATTTTAAAAACTGCGAGAAACCTGTCTGATTTTCACGGAATCCACCCTCATGGAATCGACAGCCGTCTCCTTCCTAGACCGGTTAGTTTCTAACTTTTCGATGCTGACACTTCAGAGGAGGGATTGAGCTTCTTTTTATCACGTTCCTGCAAATACTTAAATAGATGTCTTACAATGCCCTATGGTGGCGGTTGCTTCCATTGTGGATGGAAGTGTTAACTGTAAAACGACTGGTCTCAACCGAATGCTTAACCCAGGCATTCGGTACAGGATTTGAGCTCAGCCATAAAATCGCTTTCCAACTTGTCACTGTCCAGACTCCCAACAGATTTGTTGACAGTGTTTGTGATATATTTTGTTTTATCCCCCACCAACTTTCACGTTTGGCCACATAGTAGTCCGGAATCATTTTCACCATCCATTTATCAACCATCGGCTATTAGCCCGCATTTTAAGGCCTATTACGTAACAAAAGTGGTATCAGAGAACGTGACCTTCAGTAGTCTGAGCTTATTGCAATATAGGCAGTCAGTTTTTCCAGTAGGTCCGAGAAGTGATGCAGTTAATGGAGGCGTTTTCATTCTGGGACATAACCGTTACTTTTAAAATCTGTCAAGTTTGTTCCGAACGTGAAAATCTTCCTGCCGCCATTCAGGTAAGCGTTGAATGATGAAATTATCGATTCCAGTGCTTGTGATATCATATATTTTAAGCTCGGTTTATAAACAACATTCAGCATGCAATGTACTACTACTGATTATCTGACTCACTATCGCCAATATGCTGCTCATACTGAGCACTTATACCCGTAATACTTTTACGTAACGTAGTGGCTTCAACTCGATATTTGTGACCCGACTTTTGAGTTCTCCGGGAGACTAGATATGGAGTAGTGATTTATTCTTTTAAGCTTTCTCAGCTTAGTTGAGGACAGCAACACGGTGCACAAGCACTGCAGCATCCACAATTTCAGAAATACTGAAGATGGTCCACAGGAGTGCAGAACAGTGGTCCGTTTATCGGGACAATAATGAACCAATTTTATCGATTTCCGTGTGTTCGCAGTATGTATTGACTAAAGCATAATATACGGAAGCAGCGACAGTGGCCAAAACATGCCCCGGGCCATATCTAATAAACTCATCACTCGTGTTTACAAGAACCGTCATAAATAAATTAATGTTTTATCCTCACATTGGTAATTCAACACGAGAGAGGCCAGTTCACGCGCATCATCATATCGAAATGCGTTGAAACATCCACAAAATTCTACGAGTCCTGAATGGTACAGAGGGTATATCATTAAACTCTAGTGAAAACATCAGAACATCCTGCCAGTTATGAGTGTTAAAGCCTAGATAGTAATAATTCTTATTCTCAGTTGATGGATTTAGTATGAGAGATACCATTTTCAAGCACCATCAAATTGATAACTCTTGGAAGTTTACGAAATGGCATCTAGTATCAAATAATTAACACATCATGTCATTGATGTGAGTGATTTTATTAAAACTTGCTGCAATTCATGAGACGGAAATGGATTTTCATCTCCCATCACACAGATAGGAGTAAAAGCGCGCAAGGTCCAAAGTTTGCGTTACTACCAGCCGACGTTGTTAGTCCATTTGTATAGTTTGTTATTAAGTAATATAACCGTCTATTCATTGGAAGGTTCCTCAGTTTTTAGCTTCGCTAACCACGTATACGATCTGGAGGTCAGAAATGTACCCATAGTTATATCCAAGGTTATTGTCTAGATCGACGCATTTCCAGTTCACTACATAACATTTGTAGGTAATGTAGATCATTACCATCGTTAATACTTGTTGTAGTGGATGAAAATGAGCGCTGAAACGGTTAGTAGTCCAAATGGCAGTAGCTAAGCATTGGCTTCAGGCAACTTTCGTATCAGCGTGAGCAGCATCATTCTGGAAGCGTATATGATGCATAGTAACTTTCGTATGAAAAGGCCACTCGATGCAAAGTACTAGAAAACGTGTAACGCGGAGCTACCGCAGGTAAATCGCCTTCCGATCCACTGGGTAAGTTGGCCTCTGGTTTAATCGTTTGTTTAAAATATTTGTGCTGCTATAACTGCTGGGAGAGCTTAGACGTTCATCGCTTGAAGAATCATAACCAGTAAGCCAGCTAATCGTGAAGATGTTCCAGAAACCACGGAAGATTCGGAGCAGTCCAGTAATTACTGGTGTCACAGAGCAGGTATTATTTTCATTAAGTAGTTACATACCAGCGGAAATCCAGCATCATACGTGGTCATGAATCTGTTAAATAAATGAATATCTTTATTCTCAATTTATGAAGTCAACATGAGAGAAACCAGTTTACAGGCCCCATCAAACTGGTAACTTCAGAGAAACATAAAGGGTTTTAGCAGTATTGAACGATACGGAGGAAGGACATCAAACTCTATAATGCCACCATGTGTCTAAATGTTATGGAAATAGCAGGAAAATATCACTTTACGGTACATACACATCGTTCTGAGTTTAAGTCATTTCTGCTCACAGTTCTTTCTTCACATCGAACCACGCAATATTTGGTGTTTGCGTTGAGTGGTCCACATGACTGACCCATCTACAAGACCAAGTGTTTTGTCAGATATAAGTCTATTTTGACAGTAATTCTTACGTTCGTAGATTTATTGTTTAGCAGTAACCTACTTCAATGATTTCAGGAATAAGTAAGTATCCATACAATCGCATAATCCAGGTGAATGTCTAAGCCCAGGCGTTTCTCACTCTTCAAGCGTTACCTTTTCCAGCAAGTCAGATTGGTAGTACTGAAAACATTTATTGTGGTGCAAGTAATTAAAGACTGGAAGCATCGTCGTTCAACAGTTGTGAATATTACATATATGTAAAACCTCATAGGCTTCACATTAGAGTATGCAACATTGTCGAGGAGGTACATTGGCTGTCAATTGACTTCTGTTAGATGGATCGAAACAAGGCAATGTGCTAGAGAAATCTGTTGCATAGCATTATTATGGATGTGTTGCCGTTAGGTGAAGTGATCTCTACGGTTGGATTGTTTATCCAGATTTCCGCTGCATTTGTCGTGGACCAGAAATCGGAGACCGGTTACTGTGCTTGGGGTTTCGTATGTGGTAGCATTTAGGGTATTAGTAGGGAGGTGAGTTGGTTTTTAAGCTGTTCAAGAAACAGGAAAATCGGGGCGAGCCAGTTGGATACCTCTAACATCAGTTTCCGCAAATGGGAAAAGAAAAAAGAAGCACGAGCACATAAGGAGAAGGAATTACCATGCAGTCCATTTTGGGAAGAGAAAAGTCCCTATTCTTTAAGATCCATTCGAACTTTATGCACATTTTCACGTAGGTGTGTGCAATCAACTACACATTTTTTCCATTATAATGTTCTCAAGATTTTCTATGTCTGGGATGTATCGTAGTAACTTTGATAGGAAAACAGTATAAATTTAGTTCTTTACACGGAGGAGAAGAACCAGTACTCACACCCTTGTTTGCAATGGTAGAACCATCAGTGTAGGAGGGACTCGAGGACTTTAACAACTCTGATCCTTACATTTGGAGGCCTAACTATCTTCACAGTGGACACAACGACGCGCCAATTGCTCCATTATACTTCGTATTTGTGGATATAATAAGGATGTCAGGAAATTTATGGATGTCCGTGAACTGAAGGAATTCATTGAGTAGGCGTTGAAACTGAAGTGAGGACATGCAAGTTTCGGATACGGTGTGGGAGCTTATTCTATGACTTGCTGTGCTGTATCATAAAGAATCGTGACCCAAGTTTACGGCAGTTTTTCGACAGGTACACTACATCCAAGATTGCGTAAACTGTATGAGGACGTAGGCTTAGAGGTAGGAGAGCGACAGGCAAGAGTAGTGCTGCGCAAAAGGTGGGAAACTGGGTTAGGGTTG